GGCCTGCTGTGCTGCGCTGCCGGGCGGTGCGTGCTACTGGGCGGCCCACTGTATGTGCTGCTGCCTATGACTGCGCCACAGTGCACTGCTAGGTGGTGTGTCCATAACACCCCGGCATGGTCAACTATTTTGGCTTGACAACTGTTTGAGGTCCTTGCAAATAAAGATAAGAAGGGAAAAAACACACGACAAGTTCATGACCAAAAGTGGGTTCAATATATAGATACAAGGCGATATGCCAATAGGGGTGTATTCGCCTGTATTCATACTGTTTTCTTTTGTTTTTTTATTTTCTTTCAAATTTAGTTCCGAAGGGCCGTGCTAGGCCTGGAATCACTCACCGACCCAAAACACCCCCTATTGGGGCGTATCGGGAAGGTTCCGTTTGAACCTTGGTTCAGACTGGGTTTGATTTTGCCCATGTATCCAAGAATTGGCCCAATTCTGGATTGTTCCTTTCAAAACGGGCCACGTGGCATACGGCTCATGTTTGCGTTAAAAAGATGGATGGTCAAGGTCATTATTGTATTATCGGCAGTTCGGCACACTTTGCCCGGTTTCCTTTTTCACCGCGAGGCCCATAGGTTGGAAATTGGAATTGTTGGACCAATAGTTGACGAATGACGAGGCCTCCCAAAGCGTTTGTACCGCTTTATTCCGATTAAAACGTGGCTAAAATTTAGTGCTTAGTCCCCTCTCATCAAACCTACCATAAAACTCATTTTTTTCCTCTGTGTGGAAATTTGCTACTCTGATTCAGCTTCGATAGCAGACGCCGGAACCTCCTCGTGATCAATGGCCGAAGTTGAGAACGAAAAGTCCCGAACCCTCTCTCAGGTGCTAATCTCAAACGTTCTCTACTTCTTTCTCTTAGTCTTTTGCAATCAAATGGATGTCATTCGGATTACATGTTAGGTTTGCGGTTGGGGTATCAATCTATCTCGATAGATCCGAATTTGATATCGGTCTCTGACATTTCACAATCTTTTTTCTTCTGATAACTTGAGTGTAATGTGGGTTTCTTCGATTCTTGTTCCTTCCAATTCGGTTTTTATTTTATTTTTGTGTAATTGATTCCAGTCAGGTGTCTATTATTAAAATGAACAGAAACATCAGTCAAGAAATTGCTTGCAGTGTTGAAAATGTGAGCGAGGTGGTTCAGATTTGTTTCTTTATTTGCTTATCTATTCCTCTAGGAAAATCGCTATGTTTGTTCCAAGTTGGTAAATTTATTTTAATACCTTGGTCTAGTTTGTCTCGGTCTACTTGGTTGGTTTTGACCCTTGTATAATTTCAGCTTTATTATGCTTAGTTTTAGTTATTTCTTCCAGATATAGTCTGCTTGGTTGGTTTTGACCCTTGTCCATGAGGGGTTTCGCGAAATTGTACTCTAGCTACATTTGAATTCTGTCATAATTACAAAAGCAAGTCATTTTCTTTTCTGTAAGTTATCAGGATTGCAGTTTCAAGTTTGGGAGCGGCACCAGATGTAACTAATAACTTTGATTTTCTTGTCTTAGTCTGGTATATGAACTTCTTCTGTTATTAGTAAATCGTTTAATCTTATTAGTACCCAAAAATAGAGGGGAAAAAAGAAACATAAGTATTTGAAACCTTGTTAATGGTTTTTTTTTTTTTTTTGGTAAATAGACTTTGTCAATGGGTTAATGCACTTTGTCAGTGTTGCAACACTTACACATCACTTTTCCATTCTTCATCCAAAAGAAATTCTGAAGTGTAGCAAACCTATGTTCCTAGAAAAACAAGCATGGTGGATTTATGAGTGTATTCAGTATTGCTTCATGGTGTAATCTTCCAACTTCATAAGAAATTTGGTCTCTCTTCCTCTTTGAGAAGAACAAATGAGGACCAATAATGACAGTTGACAGAATGTATTGTCTTTCTAAATTCTTGCAAGTGCTTAGCTAAAGTTGTACCCAATTTGCTATGCATGCATTTTAGTTTGAGCTATCAAAATCCATGCATTGTGCTCAAAAGGTATTGCCTAATACCTAGTAAGTTCAGTCGATGGTTTGGTCCATCAAAATATTTGGTGGTGTTGGACTGTTTGGATATGCACCAAATCAAAGTTCACACTGTTTGAACCAAGGTTTTCAACCCATTATTCACCCAGCTGGTCATACCAGTCAACCCGTCACCCATCCTGGAATCTAGGTCCATTTAGCTTCCTCTTGAAAAAAACAAAAACAAGAAAAAAAATCGTTGATTGATTCAACATCCCTGATACCCAATAAGTTGGAGGAGGGTGACAGAGACACGAGGAAACAATTGAAGAAGGATTTAGAATAGGTCTTATTGAGAGAAGAAATAAGTTGGAGGCAGAAATCAAGGCATAGGTGGATCAAGGAAGGTGATGGAAATACAAAGCTTTTTCATGATGTGGCAAATGGGAGGAGGAGAAAGAATTTTGTGTCTAAGCTAGAGATAGGGGGGAGGTTTTCACTAATCAAGATGATATTGCTAGGAAGTTTGTGGATCACTTTAAATCGATTTATAGAAGACCCTTGGATGAGAGGTTGGAGTTGGAAGGGATAGATTGGTCAAGTCTGGATGAAGATCAAGTTAGGTGCATAGTTTTCAAGGTGCCAAGGCGAGGCTAGGTGACCATAGGGCGCCCAGGCGGCTAGGTGTTGGAATTTTAAAATGTTAATTTTCTAGAGTTTTTACTTTATCTATGCTTTCCTAAGCTATTTTATTGGTTTTGTGTGCTAATTAGCAAGCATGTACACTAACGATACACTAACTAGCAAGCTTGTACACTAACTATTAATTGAAAAAAAAAAGTGTAGGAACTAGGAAGGGAGGAGAGGAGTATAGGGGCGGAAGAAGAAGAAGTATAGGGGATTAGGGGCAGGGAGGAGTATAGGCCCCTATTTTTTCAAAAAAAAGGGACTGAGGCTATCGACTGAGAACAGTTAGGGGCAGAGAGGAGTATAGGGGCAGAGCCCTTGTTTTTTCAAAAAAAAAAGGGACTGAGACTAGGACTAGCGACTGAGAACAATCAAGGGTGGAAGCATGTAACCGGTGCCCATTTAAGTCTTTGGGCGAGGCGACCATGGAAAACTGCCTAGTCGCCTGGGCGCCTGCCTTGACAACTATGGTTAGGTGGCTGAAAAGAATCTTTGAGGAAGAAGAGATTAGGAAGGCAGTGTTCTTAATGGATAGATCCAAAGCTCCAGGCCTAGGTGGTTTTACAATGGCCTTTTACCAAGATTGTTGGGATGTGATAAAAAGTGATCTTTGTGAGGCTTTTAATGAGTTTGCAGATAAGCATATAGTCAGCTGAGGCATTAATGCTACTTTCTTGGCTCTAATTCCAAAGAAATCTGATGCCATCAATCCTAAAGACTCCATGCCAATTAGTTTGGTGACTAGTATCTATAAAATCTTGGCAAAGGTGCTGTCTTTGAGGATTAAAGAAATCTTTCCCTCCATTATTAGTCAGGCCCAAGGGGCATTCATCCAAGGATGACAGATAATTAATTGATCAGATCCTAGTTGCCAACGAATGTGTGGAGGAGATGAAGAGGTCTAAGCAAAGAGGCTTTGTATGTAAGCTCGATCTTGAGAAAGCCTATGATTTGGTGGATTGGCAGTTCCTAGTAGAGGTTTTGAGGAAGTGTGGGTTCGGGGAAAGATGGTGTGGTTGGATGTTCGGTTGTGTCAGCTCTTGTCACTACTCCATATTAGTAAATGGGGTGGTAAGGGATTTTTTTCCATCTAGTAGGGGTATTAGACAAGGGGAACCACTTTCACCTTTTCTCTTTACCTTGGTTGCTGATGTGTTCAGTTGAATTATCACAAGGGCTGATAAGGAAGATGTGATAAAGTGATGGAGAATAGGAACAAACCAAATTCCAGTAACTCGTTTGCAGTTTGCGGATGACTTGATGATCTTTTGTGGTGGTGGTTTTAGTGAGAAGGTGGGAAACTTGAAAGAATTGATTAAAGCCTTTGAAGGAGTGTCCAATTTGAAAATCAATTTAGAAAAGAGCTGTATTGCTGGAGTCAATCTGGACTTTGAGGAGGTTGAGGCTATTGCAGATTGTCTTTAGTGCTCCATTTCTACTTGGCCTTTGTCCTATTTAGGGCTGCCGTTAGGGGTAAACCCTATGGAGATTTGGTTCTAGACCCCAGTTATAAAGTTTGAAAAGAGGTTAGCTGTGTGGAAGAAAAATTACATCTCTTTGGGTAGGAGGATCACCTTGATAAGAGCTACCCTTGCGAACCTACCTACTTACTACCTCTGTCTTTAGGATACCATCTAGGGAAGCGAAGAAACTGGAAAAATTAATGAGAAATTTTCTTTGGGAACCGAGAGAAGGTAAAAAAGACCACTTAATCAGTTGGGAGGTTGTGGGTAGTAGCAAAGAAGGAGGATTAGGGCTTGGGAATGTGCTTAAGAAGAATTCAGCTTTGTTAGGGGAAGTGGTTGTGGAGGTGGCCTATGGAGCACGACAGGCTGTGGCATGAAGTGGTAAAGAGTATTCATGGATGCTCAGAGAGTGGATGGGATGTTTTCAAGGAGAGCTAACCTAGCAACACCTTGGAAAGCAATTCACAAAATTCTTCCGCAGTTCCTCAGTTGTATAAGGCATGATGCTTGTTCTGGTAACTCTATTCGGTTTTGGGAGGACATTTGAGCTGGAGATCTTCCCCTAAAAGACCTTTTTCCGTCCTTGTACTCTATTTCTTTGTATAAAAAGAGGTGATTTCAAAATTCCTTCCTTTAATTTTAAATTTGTCATCTTTGTCTTGGGACTATGGTTTCCATAGAGGGTTAAGGGAGGATGAAATTGATTGTTTGTCTGCTCTTCTTGGTCTCCTCGATAAGGTTTGGTTGGATCCTTTGAAGCCTAATAAGAGGATTTGGGCCATTCACCCTAATGGGTCTTTTTCTTGTGGTTCCTTTTTTAATTTCTTGTGCCAAACCTCCTCTCAACAAAGTTTCCCTTCCAAAGAAGTCTGGTGTCGACCGGTTCCCCCCAAGGTTATGGCTTTGTGTTGGAAAGTGTGGCATGGTAAAGTAAGCATGATGGATAACCTACAAAAGAGAAGACCCTTCCTATGTATTTCTCCAAACTGGTGCACTCTTTGTAGATCTCATGGTGAGGACTGTTATCACTTATTTTTATCTTATAGTGTCACTGTAGAGCTCTGGGGTTGGCTTCTATCATTGTTTGGGTGTAGATGGGATATGGCAACAGAAGTACAATCTTTTAACCCTTCTATGTTCTATTGGCCCCATAAAAGAGGAAGGAAAATGTGGAGTTTGCACAAGCAGCCTTGTTATGGATGGTTTGGGAAGCAAGGAATGCCAGGATCTTCCAGGAAAAGGGGAGAAGCAGTCAGGCCTTGAAGGACTGCATTTTGTATAGGGCAATGCATTGGTTAAAGACTCTGGATTTGTTTGATCATTTCTCCTTTACTAACTGTTGGGGGGATTGGTTATCAGTAGCAAATTGCTCCTCCTCAAAGATAAAGGTAATGACAAGCTGGGTCCCCCCTCCTCACGGTTCTTTGAAGCTGAATTTTGATGGAAGTAGCCAGGGCAAACTGGGTCCCTTTGGTTTGGGAGGTGTACTGAGGAATGAGGCTAGAGAGGCTGTCTTACTATACTCTGTCCCTTTAGGTGTTCGTAACTCTATTCAGGCAGAGCTGTTAGCTGCAATACAAGGAATAATTCTTGCAAAAGAAATGGGTGTGGAGAAGCTTCTGGTTGAAGGGGACTCTAAGACGGTGGTGAACTGGTTAAATAATCCGGAGAATGTCACGTGGGACTACAAGAATAAGATAAAGAAATTCAAAAGGCTGAC